ACATCTTACTTCCTGGTAAACAATGAAGTATGCCATGGTATATACCAGTGCCAATGAGAGGAGAATTTGGTGCCATATTTTCATGAGCCAGAGAAGTCAGCAACCTGGAGATACAGGACATGAAGATGAATGATTCATGGAAAGATTTACAGAGCTCTGAAATCTGACTTTCACAAAACAGCTCTTGTCAGGTAGAAATTACTTACCAAGAAATGTGGCTGGCATTTCACAACTGCAGAGACTACATTTCAGGAAAGATTTATTTTATGGTGATCTTAATTCCTCTCCCCCTCCCCCCTCGTCTGCTGCTTGTACTATTCCACTAAATATTGAAAAGAGATTTAGAGATGCTTTAGTGGCGCTTTTTTAAATAAACATTTAATTAGGTGGCAATGCATCCCTCTCAATTAGGTGCCATTAGATTATTTCAAACCTAGCCCCTGAGAATTTACTGAGTAAGGAATGCATACACCTGAATAAATTTGCTCTTAAGTACCCATTGATATTTAGTTAATAATATACAATAGGATGTAAAATCTAAATGAAACATGATATGAAAATGTAATGCATGTTTTTTTTCTAGTACTGAATCAACTCTGGAAAGTAGCATGTGTCTATTCCACTGTGAATTTGCCTGATACGCTTTTTAATGACTTGATCATCTACTGTTTTTTCCATTGTGCTCCTGCCTCCTTCAGGACACAGGCAGTAAGGTTGCAGAAGTAACCATAAATCTCGTAACTCCTAACTTTTGAATGCTTGACTTTATAACCTAAACAACTTTCTCTTAATGTCAGTTTTTTGAACTCAGTCCAAATAGGCGGTAATTTTTCTCTGTATAGAATATATATTCTCATTCATACTAAGGCCACTTTATACCAGTTGAGTTGTTAAGGGCCTGAAAGTGCACATAGATTCCACTTTGAGTATGTTTATACAGCGACTGGAAGCAAATCTCCAAGCACAGGTGACCATACCTGAAAATAGCAAGGTGGACACTAAGCCCCAGCACAAATTAAAACAGTGTATCAAAGGTCGTAGGTGGGATTGGATGTCTAGTCCGTTTTTAATGAGCTGGCTCAATACAGCTCAGATAACCTACATGTGCTACAATCACACCTTTCAACTCCTGGGTAGAAATTCCTTCAGACACACCCATGAGTCTCCCCCACCCATGCCTTATGAAAATTGGCTTATGGATATGAATATCCATAATTCAAAGATGCTTTATGCAAAACAGTCCATGTGACATCAGTTGCACAGTTATAATCTGCTGAATCTGTATATTCTATTTTGTGCTTATATGTGAAGTTAGAAATATGAAGAATGAATCAACTTATAGTTCTAAATGTGCTAATGAGGGCCATTCATGACTCTTCAGGTACATAATAACTCAGTACTGAAAACAACGACCTGTGGATGGTCTTGTTTGTCATGTAAGCCCAAACTGTGATTGGTGCTATAAAGACATGTGACCATTCCCCTTGGTACTGGCATCCATCTTGAACCTGGTATTTTTCCATAAGGATGGAGGGAGGCCTAACAAAGGAATCCTGTCTTGGAGGAAAGTCTATATAAGCAATGGGAAGCCATCTGTCCTTTGTCTTCATCTGGCATTTGAAACTGCCTGACCCACCCTAAGAGGATACAAAGAACTTTGAAAAGGCTGTAGATCCAAGTCAAAGAAAAGATCTACTCTGACTTGACGCTTTTACCAAAGGTAAGACCAGCTGATTAGGGTAAGACTTTGCATGTAACACGTTTCGCACTAATTTAGAATTAGCTATGCATTTTTTTTCCATTTTAACTTAGTAGTTTACTTTGACCTGACTTTTCACTTGCAATCACTTTGTACTTAATAAAAGTATGTTGGTTTACTATCATGCCCAGTGTAAATAACTGTGCCATGGAGGGGAGGGAACAATCACTGTGCATATCTCTCTTTCATTGATAAAGTGGGCGGACCTTATGAGCTTTCACTGTGTAAAAGTTTTACACTGGGTATGATGGATTTATCTGGAGTTTTGGTCCCATTTAGGGGTTGGTTTCCTGGGTACTGATCCCTTAAAACTGAGTCTACCCAGACTTGAATTGCTTCAGTGTCCTGTTGCTTTATGGTGGGTGGGGGAGGAATGGTAACCCCAATTTTGTGGTTTATATTGGGGGGACCAGAGGATCTGGCCCAGCAGGACAGGGTGATGAGGATCCCCCGAGGGCAGGAAGGTGGGCACCAGTGGCAAAATCAGCATACCAGGGCATAACGCTAAAGGGACTTCTGTGATTGACACCATCATGCAATAATTATTATTTTATTGATTAAATTTGTAATATCAAAGAGCTTTCAGAAACCCTTACTGAACTGACAGACAGCTCTGTCATCCTTTCATCAGAGGTAGCAGCGGCATTTCAGATTTGCCAGCATAATTCATGCAGAACACCTGCCGCTAGTTGGTATTGACCTAAAGACCAAATGGTTTTTGCTTACTGAAATAGCAGCTTGTAAGCTCTCTGGCCAGGTCTACATTAAAGTGGAAGGTCGACTTAAGTTATGCAACTCCAGCTACCTTTGGCGCTGGCCACGCAGTGGGTGGGAGATAGGAGCAAACATTCCCATCAGCTTCCTTAACTCCTCCTAAGAAGCAGGAATACTGGCACTGATGGGGGAGTCCTCTTGGTTCAAATTAGTGGGTCTTCACTAGACCCTCTAAATCAAACCCTGAAAGATTGACTGTGACAGCGTCAATCTTCTGCGTAGTGTAGACATGGCCTCTGAGACTGCACATTCCTTCTGTCTGATATTCCCCAGTTTATTCATGCTGAGGGAGAGTACCTAGCAGGAACTTGCTAAAAGGAAATAAAGGTCTTAGTTTGTTTTATTTAAAATCATAGAATCACAGGACTGGTATGGACCTCAAGAGGTCTTCTAGTTCAGTCTCCTGCAGTCAGGGGAGGAGTAAGTATTATCTAGAGATCATCCTCAACAGTTGTTTGTTTAACCTGCTTTTAAATATCTCCAGTGATGGAGATTCTGCAACCTCCCTGGGCAATTTATTCCAGTGTTTAACCAGCCTGACAGTTAGGAAGTTTTTCCTAATGTCCAACCTAAACCTCCCTTACTGCAGTGTAAGCCTCCTCTCAGTCTTCACTTCTCTAAATTAAACAAACTCAGATTTTTCAATCTTCCCTTTTAGGTCATGTTTTCTAGACTTTTAATCCTTCTCCTTGATCTTCTCTGGACTTTCTCCAGTTTGTTCTACATCCTTCCTGAAATGTGGCACCCAAAACTGGACACAATACTCCAGCTGAGGCTAATCAGTATGGGGTACAGCAGAAAAATTACTTACAACACACTTGCTAACAGAGATTCCTGCATCATAGAAAATCATATTCTCTTTGCTTTGGGCACAGGGCTGGACTCAATGACCTCCTGAGGTCTCTCCCAGCCCTAGGATTCTATGATTAGCTTTGGATTAAATATACACTAATGGATCCCCAATTTCATTGCCCCTGATTTGTATAAATTTCTTTGCCCATGGCACATATTGACTATTGCAGCTCCCTCTGACTCTTACCAATTAGGCTTAAAGCTTCAACTACTGTAAATCAGCATCACTCCAGCTGGGTCCCCAACGCCATATTGTTTTACAATTGCCAAGTGTCTCTTTTTATCTCTCAGTTCATGCAGCCAGTGCCTGCCTTTCCTTCTCTTCAGGTTCTTGGGTAAAGACAAGCAATGGTCCTGCCTTGGCTGATGATGCTTCACAAATCTTCTGAGGACATTGTACAAGCGTACTCAGGTTCTGAGCTCCATCTCAGTTTCACTGGTGTGAAGCCCGGGCCACTCCCCTGAAGCCAATACTCTGAATTAATACTGGGGTGACAGAGCAGAATCTACACTTCAAGGGGCTAATTGTCTCTTTACCCAAACCTGTTCTTGTAAATTAAAACCTTGGGTTACTTCCAGAGACAGCCAATATGAAAACAAGAAGAAGTTAGGAGACATTTATGATGTCGGGCAGCTTGCGATGGTATAGTTGGCATGCAATGGCGGGTTGACCTAGCCGGCTAGCATACACACTTGGCCAGCCACTGCTCTGAGTTGCCCCAGTGTAAATGCTCAGCAAGAGAAAGGAGGATGCTGTGATTAAGGCCCTGGACTGGAACTCAGGAATTTCTTTTTAAATTTTAGACTTTTCCACATACTTTCTGTGTGACTTTGTGCCACAGTTCACCCCATCTGTAAAATGATAAGGGTAATGATGCAACCTTTCTTCTTGCAGGTGGAGATAAACTCATAAGTGTTTGGTAGGAGCTGAACTACTGCTGGGGGGAAGGGGAAGAGCAGCATATATGCAGGTGGATAATTGCAATGAAACCAGTGGGTTCCATAAACCATTTCAGTTTATGGTTACCTAAGCGAAAGCATAATCTTGACCCCTGGTTTTACACTATTCTCATTAGAATTGTTTCCCCACTTTGCTCTGTTTTTCTCCATACATTTGTTTCTCTTGCCATCATTTTTTACTGTTCTCCCACCTACCTCCACCCCAACGCTTCTTGTTTTCCATGTCCTTTCCTACGCAGAATGTGAACTTAATACTGTTTGAAGCCGTGTCACACCTGCGACCCATGGCATCAAAGCAGTTTTGAAAGGAGTGAGAATGAGCCATTCCTAATAAAAACAGGGTCAGATATGTTTCTGCACGAAGGAATGCAGAACTGAGACTCAACATTCTACCCTATAATCAGATTAGCATTCACATCCTCTGGCAAAAAACATACAGTAACAAAGACAAGACGTGTTTCTTATTTGCTTAGCCATATAGTGGTTTCCGGAGGTACCGAGTAATTTGTAAGTTTTTTCCACTGGCTTGGTTTTCACAACAAGAGGAGAGTTTGGATAAATGATTAAGAGTTACACAAACAAATTTTCATCACCCTGGATGGCACTTGCTTTATAAACCAGGCAAATTATACTGATACTTAGTTACAGGTCTTACCTTCTTTGTATGGATCTTTATAGCCATCCTCTTGGGAAGCCAGACCCTGAAAGAAAAGTAAGGGAGCCAATATTTATTCTGAGGCCTACGAATATTTGCGTTCAAGGTATAGAATAATTTTAGGATATGTTCTATTACATTCTGTCCCCGATAAGTGAAACTCAACCTGAGCTGACCAACACAAGGTCTTATCCATCAAATCCCACATCTATAAGCAAAAGGTAATTTATTTCTAATTTTGATTGGTCCACCAGTTCTGGCTGTGACTAGAACCAGAAGTGTTGAAATAACAGGAGAAAGGATCTTTGCTCAGTGGCCATAGGGGGGAAATACTTGAAAATGTCTAGGGAATGTACTCTATTGAGATTACACTTTAGCAGGCCTAAGAGCAAGAGGTTTGATTGCCTGGAATTAGCTCATGGGAAAACAGTCAAAACTTTCCCAAGGAGACTGACCCTGGCATCTCAGGGTGTGTCTAGACTACAGGGTTTTGTCGACAAAAGTGGACTTTTGTCGACAAAACTATACCTGCGTCCACACTGCCTTCGAGTTAGGTCGACATAACGTCGACAAAACTCAACAGTTTTGTCGACATATGTAAACCTCATTCTACAAGGAATAATGCCTTTTGTTGACAGAGTTCTGTCAATAGAAGGCATTATTGCATCTACACTGTCCTTTGTGTCCACACTGTTATGTCGACAAAGCGGCTTGCTTTGTCGACAGAACTGGATGTAGTCTAGACGCTCTTTGTCGACAGAAGCTTTGTCGACAGTATCTGTCGACAAAACTTCTGTCAACAAAATCCTGTAGTCTAGACGTAACCTCAATGTTTAGAAAGTGGCCCATCGCTTGCTGATGCACTGGGAAAAAAAATCGAGCGGCATAAGAAGTCAAAAGACAATGCACTAAAGGCTGATGAGTCCTGCACTGGTTAGATGGGGAGAAGGAAGAGAAAGACCAAGAGTTAAAAAAAACCCACTCAATTTGATTTTCTGAAGCACAAGGGTCAGTTTTGTGACCGCTTCCATGCCACAAACTCCTGAGGTGCTGGTCTATGGATATTTTTAAATAGAAACACACAGGCCAACCGCACCTGTGACCTCCCTCTGTAACTGACCCACAGATCAGCGGCTACTGTTTGGCTATGTCTACACTGGCATGATTTTCCGGAAATGCTTTTAAAGGAAAAGTTTTCTGTTAAAAGCATTTTTGGAAAAGCGCGTCTAGATTGGCAGGATGCTTTTCCACAAAAGCACGTTTTGCGGAAAAGCGTCCGTGGCCAATCTAGATGCGCTTTTCCGCAAAAAAGCCCCGATCGCCATTTTCGCAATTGGGGCTTTTTTGCGGAAAACAAATCTCTTCTGTCTACACTGACCCTTTTGCGCAAAAGTTTTTCGGAAAAAGACTTTTGCCTGAACGGGAGCAGCATAGTATTTCTGCAAAAGCACTGACAATCTTACATGAGATCATCAGTGCTTTTGTGGAAATTCAAGCGGCCAGTGTAGACAGCTGGCAAGTTTTTCCACAAAAGCAGATGATTTTGTGGAAAAACTTGCCAGTCTAGACACAGCCTTCTTGTCTCAGGTACTTCCTCCTATTTTCCAAATGGTAGAAATTTGTAATGTACATGTAGAAATCTAATGAGATACCTATATGACTCTTGTTATGATCACATCTGAGACCCAGATCCTCAAAGGTATTTAGCTACCTAACACCCAGATGAAACCAGGAGGAGCTAGGTACCTAAATGCCTCTGAGGATCGTGTGTTGAGTATGTCACAGCCAATAATGGATTTTACTTTCAAAGGATCCCCAGGTGATGGGGGAAATGCTAGCTCTGTTTTACAGAGGGAGACTATGGTCGAGCTGGTCATTAAATGTAAGTCTTCAGTGTTTCAATCCAGTGTCCCAGCCACTAGGTCTTCTGTCCCATAATGGGACCACCAAAGAATCAGAGCATTAAATCTCAGAGCATTATACTCTGTTCCAAAAAGAGTTGGGGGCATTTTGCCACATGGAGAAGGAAATGTTGCATCTCTAAATACATTTTGCTAAAAGAAACCAGGCAATGGGTTCCCCGCTGCTGATAAAGAAATGTTTTGCAAAGCTATTGAGTCATTAGCACTAAAGCGAGACATTCACCTATCAAACCTTCTCCTGAGATGGAGGTTAGGAGGGAAATGTATAAATCTGATGACTTGTAGTTTGCCGAGCAAATGGAGTGACTTGAGGGAAATTAAAATGCACTAATGTATCACATTCCCTAGTGGAAAATCTCGAAATCAATGGAAAATAACTGATACTAATGCACTTTATTTCAACAACAACAGAGTAGACACCCAAATAAAGCTCTAAATGTTATCGTGTGGGTTTTTTTCTCTTAATCATAACAAGAAAATTCTGTTTAATGTTATAATTTGAAATGTAGTGTTCCCCTCTAGGTGCTCAGCGAGATGAAATTGTACCGTACAGGCAGGGGAAATTTTCATTATAAATCTGCAATGGATCAGGGAGTGAGTGATGAATGGCCTCCAATCACCACTAGCAGAATGATTTGCATTTGCTTCATTAGAGAAAATGATAATCATGTGCCTGTGAAAATCAGCTTTTCAAAAAATGCTTTTATAAAACTTTTCCAAAACCAATCAGCCTGGTGTCTCATTTGTCATCTAATCAAAATCATCTTGATAAATGTCTCTTACAGACCCTTGCCAGAAAACTTGATTGGAAAGGAATGAAACCCCTAATAAGTAAACAATTGTGCAATAACAAACAACACTGTGTGAGGATCACTGGTGGATCAGATGCCAGTACATGTCCTGCAGAAGCTATGAATAGGGATGGATAAATAAGACTGGGAAAAAGAAGCACTCTTTTCCCACAGTCTTTGCCTCTTTTTTAAAACTGAATTTGAATGCAAGGCCAAATTCAGCTAATAAAAGCAGTTATCACTTAGTTGACTTCAATGCACTTGCAGTCAAGTGAGCCTGCTCTGAGTATTTCTTTCTTCCCTATACTGAGGTAACTTTTTTCATCCACTTACAAGTAGCTCATCACCCAGGGAGGTGATAGAATCTCCATCCTTAGAGGTTTTTAAATCTCGGCTTGATAAGGCTCGGCTTGATAAGGCCCTGGCTGGTTTGATTTAGCTGGTGTTGGTCCTGCCTTGGGCAGGGGGCTGGACTTGATGACCTTCTGAGGTCTCTTTCACCCCTAGGATTCTATGATTCCAGGTTCCAACCAGACCCTACAACACTGAAATGTCACCAAAATCTCTATTCTCATCTTGGCTCCTCTATGGAGAGAAAAACTATTGGCATGAACAATGCAGGCTATCTTTGTAGATCCAAAGGGGTTTGAATACAGTAGTTGGGATAAGATTCAGATAAGCATCACAATTTACAGGTGCTGTGTTCAACCTGAGTCCAAATTCTCTCAAGTGAAATCCAGACCATTTGAATTTAGTGGGAGGTTTGTTGTTGACTTAACTGAAGTCAGGGACTCACCCCCCAATCATTTGATTTAGTTGTGGAGACAGGCTGAGTATCTTGTTTAGGGATTGAAAGTCCATTTTACCAGCACTCCTATCCTCTCTTCTAGAGCTAGAAGGGACCTTGAAAAGTCATCAAGTCCAGTTCCCTGCCTTCACAGCAGGACAAAGTACCATTCCTGACAGATTTATTCCCGATCCCTAAATGACATCCTTAAGGATTGAACTCACAACCCTGGGTTTCACAGGCCAATGCTCAAACCATTGAGTTATCCCTCTCCCATGCTTACTGAACTGTGGGACTGTTCTTATAAAACCTATATGGAGCACTTACCAAACATAATGCTATGGAAAAAGGCACTGTAGCAGCACCATTCATTTACAGTTTTGGGGGCGCTGAATCTATGCCACTCTTACACACTTCAATTGAAGTAATCCATGCTCAGCATCTCTGAAAGCCTAGGGGTGGCATCTTGGTCTTATCAAAATCAATGGGAGCTTGGCCCTGGGATTTCACCCTATTTAAACTATTTATTATTAATTCAACAACAGTTCCCCATGTTTCTGCCTTTGTAAGAGACATATGGAGACGCTGTAAAAAGTATGTCTTGGTTGCACTGGCATCACGATACTTTCCATCTGTGGACCTCAAAGTGGGTGATCATTCTACTCGTGGGAAAACAGAGGCAGCGAACATTTACGCAGCCAGCCCAAACTCTCATACCGTCAGTGGCAGAACAGTCAATAATGATCTACAGTAGCACGTGGCTCGGTCTTCACACTTCACCCGACAAATGCAGGCATAAACACAAAGAAAGGATTTTTGTTCTGGTGAAAGGTGCCAGGCTCAGAGCTGGGACACTGAAGGATACTGTTTAACCCTACAAAGGACACAGCATGGGTTCTAGCAGAGGTGGTTTGCGCATAAGTTACTCCATCAAAATGCCTCAGATCCATTTATCAAGGTCCTATTTTTAAAGCCCTGTGAATCTGCGGATCTCTGTTTTATAACCACAGGTATCCACATCTGCATGAGGATGAGGATATCCACAGCTCATTTTTGTGAATACAGAGGTGGATACAAATTTTGTATCCACACTGTGCTCTCCCTATTTC